CGAAAAACCATGAGTCAAAAATCAAAGTGTTGGCGGCTGCGTTTCAGAAGACTATCTTATTTCCATGACGTTGGTTCTGGATTCAAATCGAATAGTAGTGGAGAAAAGAAGGGAAATAAATTATTCCCTCAGATAAACGTTTCAAGTACAGTGTGTGATTGACCTCATAAAATGTTGGCTGAAATTCCGAAATGAGTCTTCGATTAAGAGGGATTTCTTAGGTGGATTTGTAATACTGAAAATCTTGCAGCATAATCCGATAACATTTCAGACTCGGCAGGAGTTCGTCTTTTGAATGAACGTCTTTTCGATCTTCTATTGAAACCGTACTCGGTAAAGAGTGAGTGCTTATATAGCATGCATTTTTCACATTGATTTTTGATGGTCGTATAAATTCGAATATATCTCATTGAAAACAGACAAAAATGCTTTATTTCACTCATTTGATAGAGAATCACGTCGTTTTTATACCGTATAATTTGTGAAGGAGTACAATTAAGCTTTAAAAAATTTCAAATTATAAGATTTTTTAAGACCGTGCAATGCCCATTCTCACAGCATCGTACCTGCCCGTTTACCACCGCTCCTCATAAAATGTACAACATAGCCCGCATCCATTGCAAAATTGTATGGACTCTATATGATACCTTTATCAGGGCATAGAAAAATTTATGATTTTCCATACATAAAACGCATGCAACTTGTAGACTGAAATCATCAAGCGCCAAAGCAACAGGCCCCCTCATTCGGAAATTATAAAACTTTTTCAAAACCTAATTTTATTCCTTCCTCAAGAATACAATATAATTATGACGTGATTCTCAATCAAATGAATAAAAGAAAGCATTTTTTTCTGCCTTTTGTATGAAATGTATTTCAATTTATAAAACCATCAGAACTCAGTGCGAAGATGCATTCCAGTTAAGCAGTCACTCTGCCGAGTACGGTTTCTACAGGAGGTCAAACATAAGTGCATTCAAAATTCAACATCCTGCCGAGTCTGAAATATTATCGGATTATGCCGCAAGATTGTCAGTATTACAAATCCAACTAAGTAATCCCTCCTCATCGAAAACGCATTTTAGAATTTCTGCAAACATTTCATGAGATCGGTCGCGCACTGTGTATAGTAAACATCACTACTGTCAGGGGAATGAAATCCCTTGTTGCAACGTTTGCATCTTTTTGATTGTACCGTAGGCTTATTGTATTCCTGGTAATAAATATTAGAACAGTCTGCACAGCCCCCACTTCTAAAATTAGCCAACTTTTCTGACTTATTTCGTGAAATATTGATTTTCGTACAGCATAGTACCAGAATATTTCGGCCGCATTAGGATTGCGGCTTTGGAATGAACCTTTTTCCGGTCAGCTGCCTATTTCCCCTGACATTTGATGTCCTTGTAAATTCAACTGAATTTTGTAGAACGCATGCACGATACTTCCCTTTCCTGTACTTATTGGGTAGGAAATTATGGCTCCTTACAATTGCAGCATTGATGAGAAGATATTTTAGGTTTTAAGAATGTCATTTCTACTTTTCGACCTGTCCCACAGTTTTAGATACACCTGGAGTTTACTAACATTTTGTTGTATGCTTTTTGTTTAAGGAAGATACATATTCGCACATTTCATTAGGAAGGCATCATATACGGCTAACAAATCTCACAAAAAGTTTGGATCTAGTTTTATACTTCATAAGCAGTGTTAATAAACGTCAGGTACAGTCCTTATGAACGTCTGTTCCGGAATGTACAAAGTTTTATAATTATGAACGCCTCTGAAGCCAATATATATCTTGTGTTCAGGGATAACATTTGACGAAGACCTAATTTTCTACCGAGTGAATGCAAGAAAGAATGCCTTAGTGCATACTTTCCGCGAAATATGCTTGAATTTATAAAGGTATCGACGGCCAATGAAAAGATTTCATACAGCTTCAGTAGTCATTTTTTACCAAGTGCGGCTTTAAAGGCAGTCAAGGAGGAATGGATTCAAAAACCGCAATCCTCACGTTGATTAGATGGCTTGAAATTACGCTGCACGATACTAAGCATTACGGCCCTATCGTTTCCAATCGAAAGCATAATGCAGAATTCCGATTAACATATCGCGAGTTTAACCTTTCCGATCGAGATCTCTAGTGATATTACTTCAAATAAAAATAAATCACACGACATAAATTTAATGAGAGACAATGCAAACATCTTCAAAAAGTGTGCGTAGTACATAATAAACTTTATTTTACTCTTCTTTTATTGCATATTTCAGTCGTACAGTGCTAATTACTTATTAAGCTTGAGTGAACTTTACCACGAGAACGGGCAAATAGCATTGTGTGAGAGCTGTGTGTGCGCTTCGAATCTAGATTTGAAGTATAAATGACAGAATGAGGGGAGTGCATTTATTTTGAGCAATAGTCGTTTTAAAGGTCTCAACCTAGAGTTGGTTTACATTAGCGTTTCCTTTATAGGTCGCAGACTTTTTCAATGTTAATGAGGGTTTATGCGGAAGGTATCATCGTTTGAATGTTAAAAATGTTCCACACTTTGCCTTGACTCCGGTCATTCCTTAGCTAAAAAACTGGTTTAATCTTATCGGAGAAGCCAATGCGTCTTTACACGCAAACTTCCGTCGTCCTGCATTTCTTTATCGTAAATGCGGCATGCGGCAATTTGAATTCACAATCCAATTTTAACTTATCAAGTGAAAAATTACACCTTACCCTCCAAATTGTATGAGGCTTACGTGTCATAAACTGAGTATGAGAGGTGCTGAGGCAAAACCCGGCCATTTATCTGAGAAAAAAATAATCGAAACACTACAGTTAGGCCGAGACTGAAAACTGTTAAAACCCGCAAATTCAGGGTAGACTGTGCTACATCGAATCGGAAAAGAAGGACGGTTGGATGCGTAACGCATCAATAAAATTCATTTGCGTTCAAGTGGGTGGAGTCCCAATTTTTTAACCCATGGTTCTGTCCTTCGGTAGGATGCGTTTCCAGGTTCACTCTGCCGTGAATACTTTATATAAGGGAAAACGCGTTGTCTGATCTAGATTAGGTGGGACTGTTGCAATAAAGCAGTAAAAATATGCACTCAGAGCGTCACAATCATCTGGTCAAATTCCGCAAAGAAACAGACAGAAGCCACCAAAATAAAGAGTTTAATATATCTAGAAACCTGAATTTTCCCCCCAGTTGACAATGGCTGCTGACAGAGCCAGAGTTGGTGTTAACTGCATCCAGTCTTGCCCAAGAGTCGCTGAGACGATGGTGGCAGCTGTTTTTGTAGCCTCTTGGGTCAACCTGACGTGGTGTCCCGCTGGTGTAGGTTGTGGTTGCGGGGAAGGGGGCATTCTAATGATTGCATGCGCAACTGCGACTCTGCGGAGGCACATGCGTCCGAGTTGAATTCGGTTGGGCGGCCGCAGGCCAGAGAGTCTGGAACCGCTCGCTGCGAAAGTGAGTTACCTTGACGCAACGGGGCCCCGAAAAATGACGCCAAAATGGCCATGATGTCTGTCCGCAACAGGATCTTTAAAGCCGAACCGGTGGATGTTCCATATTCCACTTGTAAGGGTAGCATTCCCTGCTGATGGTTTACTGCGCTTCGCGGGAACAGGTGAATAGATGAGCGCTCTTACAAGGAATTTGGAGCTGCCGATTTGTTTGGTGTGAAACAGGTACCTCAGTGAACTGGTTGCTTAATTTAACGGCGTGTGTATTCGGCGCTGGTGGTTATCTCATCCCCGTAAAAATTGAGCATTTATGAAGAAACTTTCCATGTCATATTGATATTCAACATAGGTTGGAAAAATTATTTTCGTCCTAACAGTTGGGGGCGAACGTATCCAATCAAGAGCGCTCCTTTGATGACATGATTTGACCCGGGTTGTCGTATGTGGGCGACGCTGGATAAGGCAGCTTTCTAAATTTGCTTTCCAGTGCTGCGTCACGTTAGGCTTTCTTTTGGCCGACACGTTCAGACACCCAATGCAGGAGCAGATTTGTGAAGCAATCGCTTACGAACTCATGGCAGCCTTCTGGCAGAACTTGCAAAGCCTGACGCGGCAGTCTTGAAGGAACATTTAGATCACTTTTCTGCCATGTTGAAATACTGCCCGTGCGCAAATTTCTTCTTTACCGGGGGCTGGTATGAGATACACATCGGTAACACGTTGTTGTCGAGGCACTAACACCGATACCAAGGGTCGTACCTACTTATAGCCCAATGGCGTGCGAAGTGTTGTTCCAGGTAAAACGTGCTGCACTTAGAGGACATAAGGCCAACAAAGGCATCGTCATAATGTCTGCGGACAAGGGGCGTTCCACGGTCGTTTAAGAAAGGACACTAATAGAAGCGAAGAGCCGAGTCCCAGGAAGTAGTCTTGAAGAAGGAGACACGATCGCCGAGACAAGAGCTTTATTAGCCCGACGTTTCGGATTCCTACTCGAATCCATCATCAGAGACAAAAGAGCAGAAACGGGTGGTTGTTGCACAAGGGGCTGCGGTATTTATAGGATGCAGTAGCCATGCTACCGCATACATATGAACGTTCACGTCTCCCCCCCTTCATCCGGGATTGTCGCACTTGGTGTGATCATTGCTTGATGACCGACATTCGAGTCGATAATTGCTGCAATTTCATCACGTGCGTTGGATGTTGGCGTGATGATTGCTCGACCATTTGACGCATCGACCCAGGTGTTGGGAAAAGTGTTCACCTCTGCGCTCCCCGCATGGCTTGTTACTCCGCCTAGGCGAAGTTTCAGTACGGAGTATGGAATGGGAAGATCGTTGCACTTGTTTATGGACTGGGGGCCAGTAAACCATGATTCCAGTAGCTCCCGGCTCATTCGGTTGTCACCTCTTGCGAGAATTTCGGCCTCATCGAATTTAAATGTGTGGCCGGATCTCGTCGAATGAGCTGCAACTTGAGAGCTGGCGTCATTTCGGCGCACCGCTGCCGCGTGTTCGGCCATTCTCCTTCGGAGCTGTCATCTGGTTTCTCCGACGTAGTTGCTTTGCCTGCAACTGCACCAGATCCGATAAACGACTCCAGACGTTTCTAGCCGTGGCAGTGGGTCTTTCGGTTTCATGATCAGACGCCTGATGGTTGCCTCCGGTCTGTGTGCCACTCCAACCCCAAGTGGTGCGAGAAGGCGGCCGACAGCTTCCGAAACGTTCTTGACATACGGAAGTGCCCGCCAAGACTTGGTGTCCGTGCGGCTAGGCCTTTCGTCCCTTTTGCGTATGCACCGGTCGACCAAGTTGCGCGGGTAGCCATTGGCTTTGAAGACCCGTCGGAGGTATTGTAGTTCAGCAATTTTGTCTTCCGGCTTAATGCAGTGCACTTCGACACGCCGATAGAGCGTCCTTACAAAATTGCGTTTGTGGCTGATTGGGTGGTTACTGTTGAAGTTCAGTACTTGCATCGTATTTGTCGCTTTCTTGAACACTTTGGTCTTTAGTCCACCACAATCCTTGCGGCATACGAGGACATCCAGGAAGGCTAGCTGGTTGTTCTCTTCCTCCTCCATCGTAAATTGAATGTCCGGGCAGACGGCGTTGAGCTGTTCCTGGAATGTTAACACCTGATCCCGTTCGATGACGACGAAGGTATTATCCACATACCGGGCCCAGAATTTCGGTCTGCGGTGTTGGAAGACCAGCGACTCTAACCGTTGCAGGACCGCCTCGACGATGAATCCCGAAATCGGCGAACCCATTGGTGTGCCCTTCACCAGTTCGTAGATTGTCCCGTCGAACGTGAAGTACGTCTTGAGACAGAGCTTCAAGAGTTGAAGGGATTGGGCGTGTTCAAGACGGTCCTCCGTTTCATCGCAGAAATGACGCCAGCTCTCAAGTTGCAGCTCATTCGACGAGATCCGGCCACACATTTAAATTCGATGAGGCCGAAATTCTCGCAAGAGGTGACAACCGAATGAGCCGGGAGCTACTGGAATCATGGTTTACTGGCCCCCAGTCCATAAACAAGTGCAACGATCTTCCCATTCCATACTCCGTACTGAAACTTCGCCTAGGCGGAGTAACAAGCCATGCGGGGAGCGCAGAGGTGAACACTTTTCCCAACACCTGGGTCGATGCGTCAAATGGTCGAGCAATCATCACGCCAACATCCAACGCACGTGATGAAATTGCAGCAATTATCGACTCGAATGTCGGTCATCAAGCAATGATCACACCAAGTGCGACAATCCCGGATGAAGGGGGGGAGACGTGAACGTTCATATGTATGCGGTAGCCTGGCGACTGCATCCCATAAATACTGCAGCCCCCCCCGCGCATGAACCACCCGTATCTGCTGTAGTCTCTGATGATGGGTTCGAGCAGGAATCCGAAACGTCGGGCTAATAAAGCTCTTGTCTCGGCGATCGTGTCTCCTTCTTCAAGACAGGACAGACTACCTTCAGAATGCTAAACGTTTACTGGAGGACCGCCAGTTCTATGGCCCTTGCGTAACCAACCCCGTAAAAACACTGTCACGCAAAATCAATGCGACGCCGTCGGATGTCGGCATTGGAAAATTCGGATGTAATCTCGCCGGTTGAGAGGCGCATGGCGGCAGCTCAGGACACGACCTTGGCCTGCTTCTATGACGTTTCCAACATACGCAGAGAGGGTGTTACACTCCGGCCCATCCTCTCGCTCAAAGGTAAGTCAAATTACGGACTGACAAATTGTTGTTTCAGAGCCACAACTTCCTGACTGCAATTTCAGACACCATAGTCAGTCCGTCAACGCAAATCTTGGAGAAACGTAAAGGGGTAAGCCTCTGGGCAGGCGACGTCATGGCATCTTTTGAGGTCACGTCCCTTTTTACTTCTATACGCAGGATCTGGTAGTCGAGACCATCGAACTACTCCTACGCGACAAATATGATGAGATGGGAAATCACCTTGTACACGCCCTAATCCTCCAACTCCTGGGATTCTGTCTCAAGATGTAGTTTACGTTCGACGGAACAATCTAAGACCGGCTAAAGGGCACGCCAATGGGTTCTCCTATTTCGAGACTCATAGTCGCTCTGTGCTGGGGCGACCGCTCCAGAAGAAGGTGTAGCCGACACCCATCTACTCCAGTTGGCCTTGTTTGGAGAACCGAGTCTCACGGAGTGCAGCCATATCCACCTTGTAGCGCGCCAGTTCCCGAGTCATTCGTGCCGTCCTCCGTTCCAGTCAGTTGCTCCCTGGATTGTCTCAAGTGGAACGAAAATTCCCGGCTTCCAGAGTGAACGGACTCATCCTACCGGTTTAACGAGTGGATCAGCGGAAAGGAGGATGGGGAAGAGTGAGAGTGTCGTTTCTCTTTTGGTTGTTTCGACCGTGGGTTTTGTGTCTGCCGCAGACGGCTTGGTACCCCAGCATTCGTTTAAGGCCCGCTTTCTAATCCATCCTCCTTCGCGAGGATGAGTAGTGCTCTCCCTAAATAGGTCTGTTCAGTTGTCCCAGGCGGCTGCCGAACTCCATTACGGGCCACATATTTTGTTTGATGGAAGAGCGGCACGAGTTACTCTGGGGTTGCCTACTTCACCGCGGTAAGGTCGATGAGGGGAGAGGGATGTTATAAGTGTAGAGGGGCGGGATGCAGACCTTTCCCGTCCGTCTCAAAGCTAGCTGGCTACTGAATTATAAACGATGAGCAGACACATTTAACATAAAAAGGTGGCCAACGAACGTTACTTTCGCTAACTTCTCATCAGTCCATTGCAGTTATATGGGACGGGTTGCAGTGAGTGGTGTCAGCTCATGTTGTATGGACTTGAGTTTATCTGCTAACCACTTAGATATCGCAGGATACGAATAATTCCTCACTTCTCAAATCAGACGAACCGGTAGGCTTTCCTTATGGATCTTAGGTAAACTATATAATCGAGGGATATGTGTGCTGCCCGCCCGGCGATGTTCGAAGTTGTGGTCACTCATGTGACCTACTGTGTGGAGCCTTCTTAAACAATCAGTAAATGTCGCCTCTGCGTCATCCGTGCAATTCTTTTCTTTGCCTGCCTTTCTGAATTTCTGCTGGTCAGATAGTATGGACTAAATCTTCGCTACGAAGTCCGATCTGCTCATTATGACGACACCTGTTCCCTTGTCAGGTCTAGTTCCCAAGATCTTTTTTTTCCAAAGTTTTTTTTTAATTTTTCCACGTGTGCTTTTGTCAGCAATCCTCGACTTTTTGGCTCTTTGTTTAGAATAAAGTCAGAAACGAACATACAGATAAAATGCAAGCAGGTAAGAACAGCAAAATGCAAAGGCAACACAACGGCATTTCGTTTTCAACAAGGACAAACACGTAAAAGCAGACAGAGGGCAAAAAAGCAAAGGCAGCAGAGCAACGTTCGCTTGACTGAAGGCTCCCACGGTATTTCATCACGGAGATACCGATTCCGGCCAGCGGAATCGAGATTACTGTGTGCGGGGATGGTCACACGGATACCCCCACCTGGTTTAGTTCACCGGTCGAGGCGGTTGCCGGGGTTTGACGGGTAGGCAGAGCCTATCTTCGGGAGCCACATGTGCAATTTCGGTGCCAGCAAATGGACGCTAGGCGTAGTCTACACCTTCAAGCAAGCAAACGACCTACTACAGCCGTCACGTGGATCCACAACTGGACACCTTGCACTCCAGCTCTACCAACTCATCTTGAAAGCATGTATTCCTAGTAACTTGAAGAAAGTAGAAATGTTATTCATACTATTTCCAGCGCAATCCTCTAAAAGGTCCTTTCTATTGGACCCTCTGATAGACATCAGCTTGAAGGGGTGGCCAATACTGTTTCAGTTTACTTCCCGAAGATCAAATCATATGAAACTTTTTTGTGAGAATGTCCGATGAATCCCGGTCATGCTGTGGAAATAAAACAGGAGGAAGGAGGATTTCTATTGAGGTCGTATTCTTCTAGGCTTTCCCAACGGATTAAAACTCTTTGAGATAAAACAGTTTAGTAATTGAGAGGGGCGTCTGTTTGGCTGTCGCAAAATATGAACAGTATATAGCCAATAGAATAATTGTAATGAATTAATGATGTCGGTTAATGCAAACGGAACATATTGCACAGGGCTCCCTTATTTGCCGTCCCATTCATAGATGCTCCTTACTTATTTCGCAACGAATGTCATCATAAAACAGCCGCTTGGATGCAAGTTTCATCCAGACATGTCCTGTATTCCCGTGGCCATGAAGGAGAGCTCTGAGCCTCCACGTTGCGGAAGTATGGGCCGGATAATCTGAGAATTAGTCATAAATAGATAAAAATGGCAACAGGAAACTACTACATTGAAAACGAAAGGTCTTTAGTTACGAATTCGAACCTGGAAAATCAAGAGCATATTATCGACGACATTATGACGCGCGTCGAAGAAGAACAGATCAACTTCGGGACGATGTTTCGTATCAAGTACGATGGAGTGAAGAACCCAAATCGCCTCAGTATCATGTTCTCTGCAGTGGCCGATATCCAGCATAATTTATCGAGACGAGGTGACCCTATTCAGCGTTCACCGAGTGCACTTCGTCGCAAGAAGTTCATTGGTAAGATTGGACTATTTAGTATTTGTTTATTATCAGCTTTTCAACATCATAGTTAGAATGATGATGCAGCGAAGACTCGGTATCCTCGCCTTCAAATTCGACAACCGAGGAGCACTCATTAGCAGTAAGAGATCATGAATTAACCAACAACAACAACGAAATGCCGGAAGCCTCAGTCATCGCCAACGGCAATCACTATATCATCAATTTGGAAGTACTATCGAAAAGTGTTGGTACGAGTAGGTCTGACGTCTATGTAAGCATAAAAGTGATTGAGTGCGTCACCTACGTGTTCCCATATCAAAAGTCAGAGGTACTCAACTGCGAAGGTGAGAGTACAAATAGATCAGAAATCAGGACGCTGAAATTCAGCCATCTATGCTGTTAGGCCCGACGTCGGGCATAATTTTTATTCTGCAACCGACCAGCGAAGGACAAAATACAGAGTAACACGCCGTTGTCGACAAGCTGGGCAAATGAATCATGGCGGTAAGGCCACACAACATCAAGAGGTGCGTTGAGTGAACCACAGGTTATATGGGTAAGTAGACGCAATCTTGACTGACCTGTGACCTGATATGTCACAGAGGCTCCACGTCCACATGGCACAAATACTGCTTTTGAGAAAGAACGCAACCGGCAAATGGGACAGACTTGGCACTGAGCGATACTTCACTCGGAGTTGCTGCCTGTACGCAAATACGTCTTTAAAGGCACACAGAATGAAGGTCTTTTTTCACAGACTAGATAAGGCGGTGCTTAAACAAATTCAAACCATTCTCCTGAATACTACTGTTATATCCCTAATTAGTATAACGCCAGTTCTGTACGAAATAGAAGACAGACAGGATAGGAGAGAACAGCTTTACTGCGTCAGTCACTCTGTGTACATCAACTCTTAATCCTTCCGTCCGTGGCTTCGTATTTAAGGGTTCAGCCTTCGTCTGGTTTGCGTGTTCCTACTGGTCCAGTCCTGAGCGCCTGCATGGGCAGGCCCTCGCGTGTTGCTGGCCCCTGGAGGTCGCGCATGACTCAGCGGCGTGTTAATGTCTGGCTCGCATGCGGGCTTCCTAGGCGAGGCTGTCCGGCGAGTTTGCGGTTCTTTACAGGCGCGACCCCCGGACGACAGAAATGGTGCGTCGTGTTCTGGGCCGTCCTAACACCTCCCGTTTTTAAAGAGTGGACCTCGTATGTTCGGCAGTTTGGGTGGATCATAAATCTGTTCGGAGGGCGTCTAGTTCGAGAGGATCGCCTAGGGGCCTGGACCACATTTGGAACCTCAACCTTCGGAGTCGGGATACTGAAAGTGTCACAAAGTAGGTCCATGGCCAGTTGGTTGTCTGACG